TGCTTTTTGTTTTAGATTTGTAGAATATCCTCTTTTTGTAAAACTCTATAAACAACGTGTTTTTTAATGTTTTCATTTCCAATTCAGTATAATTTGGTCCCTCAGGCCACGGACTCTTGGTTCCCGTAAGAAAATCACATCAGCATGGCACACGTCTTACGTTACGCGGCCAAATATAACTGCCAGCAGTGAGACATATCATGTGTGTCACGAGGCCCAAAGCGCCAAATGAGGTGCGACACACGCATTATATCTCATGACGCTTATCGTGTTAAGTTTATTCTACGATACTCCATAAGGTTAAAGCTAAACAGCAAGTGACATTTTATTTGTGGTAAATGCGTTCACTATATTATTTTTAACTAAAAAGATTACCGCCTCCAATGACCCTGGAACCACCTGGAAACTTTTGGTCACAAAGTTCTGTATTTGATATGTAAATTGGGGGTTTTGTACAAAAGTATGTAACTCGCAATTTCGAAACGGCGGCAATCTTGGAATCAAATTTTTAGTGAAGTACTGTATTCTACAAGGCGACGACTCTTATTTGAGATATTAGCAAGTATGTTATCCGCCATTTTGTAACGGCCGCCATCTTGATTTGAAACTGTTTTCGTATTACTGTTTTGTACAAGTGCTTCCATTTGATATCCATATTGGAGTGATTGAACAAAAATGATTTTTTGTGGTATCACCTCTGAAGCATGGCCTATTGTATAAAAAGAAATGATCAAAATCGATTAAAAATTTCCCCTCTTTCATTGAAGTCTATTAAAAATATCACTTAATGGTCCGATGTTTATCTCGAACGACCGACGTTAAAACTGCTACTGTTTAACTTGGGACAACAAATTATCTGAATACGTCCTTTCTTAGTCCTTACACACCGCCGCGTTGCTTCGACTGGCAGCACGAGATAGTGTATAAAATTCGTGTAAAAGCCTATTTGCAGAGGTTTTCGCGCTTCAAAATTGACGCTTCATTTTTGAATATTTTTCAATGAAATTTTCACAGTGCACTAAAAACAAGACTCCACAGGGTGCTATAGAGCCACTTTTTCGTTTTTTCCTCTGGGTTATTTTTAAAAAAATCGAGAAGTCGAACAACAATTATCTGCACTTCCACCCACCATAACTCCTGAAAAAAATTTTTTTTAGAAAAGTGGCTCTATAGCACCCTGGACAATTGTCTTCTGAACATACTGTATAAATTTTATTCAAATATATAGAAAAATGGAGCGTCAATTCCGAAGCAGCTAAACCCTTGTAAATGGCCTGAAACTCACTGCGTCGGAGCCGCCTTAAGGGTCTTTGTGCGTTTTCATAATCGCTGTTTAATTAGGAAATTTTGAAAAATTTTCATCAGTTTTTCTTCAAATAAAAATTGTGCATAAGTTAACGAGTAATCTTCTAAGTGTTATACCATTTTGGAATCCTTATTAAATGAGCCAACTTTTAAGGTTACTTGCCAAACTCTCGTAGTACATTTTTTTCCAGTACAGCCAGTTAAAGTTGAGCAAAGTTTTACTTTGGAATACTTGGTTAGGAAATAAGTGGCAATTTTTCCTGAACGAGAAAAGTTGATAGTAAGGTTGAGACACCAGTTTGAAGATGCATTATTCATCATTACATTGTAAAAATAAAATCCAAAAAAAGTTAATGTTTGTAGTAACAGGAGTTGACAGACTGCCGTATGGCGTGAAATTTCTATATTTTTTCAAAGACCTATAATTTTCAAAACACATACATAAATTTTTTTTAAATATTTTTCTGATAGCTGTTATGACTTTGCCTATCACCCGGTTTCGGCTTGACGTCGACTTCTGGGACACCCTGTATATAGGGATGGAAGACTAAGGATCTTTATATTGATGAATGCCTTCCTAAATACATGGCTGCATACAACTCAGACCTGCGATGACTCTAATGCTGCGCCTTTGTAGTGCAAATACTTTAGGCATATGCACAGAGTGACCCCACTTCAAGAATGCATATGACAATCTTGAGTGGAAGTATCCTTAATATGTGGTTAACAACACATAACCAGAAACATAGCTTTTCAGTTTCCTTATTAAAAAATAGCCTTGGGATGGCCATGAAAATAAAGTTTACATGTTCTTCCCAAGTCATGTAAGTATCAATACTGGCATCCAAAAATTTTACTGAGTCTACGGTATTGACATTATGGTGACAAATTCATTCACACGTCTTTGAAGCATTGAGCGTTAATTTATTTGCTGAAAACCTTTTTTTTTTTATCTTTCTTATATTCAATATTCGCAAAATAAAGCAGATCAATCGATTTGCTACTACTGAGTATGTCATCGACAAACAGTATAATGTTTTGTTTATATTACAATGAGGGAGGTCGTTTACGTATGTTGAAAATAAAAGTGGGCCTGGGCCAGAACCCTGTGGGATGCCACATGAAACTGTCGTTGTACTGGAGGTAGTGTTGAAGGTTACAAGCTGGTGTGTTGTTCAAATAAGATGACAAGAGCTTAGTGCTACTACTATGGAACTTGTAATGTGACAACTTTTGTAAAAGAATGTCATGTTAGACACAATCGAAGGCCAAAAAAATTAGGTAAGCTTTTAAAGGATGCATTTATCTGCAGCAGAGATGGAAATACTACTTCAGCATCAAATAGTTGAATACCTTGAATCTAATAACTTATCTGTATCTTGCTAGTTCGGTTCAGAAAAAACAGCTCAACTTCACAACCTATTGAGATTTTCGTTCAAACTAAAACCCGAGTTTCTGAGAATAGTCAAATCAGCTTATTAGATTTCTTCGATTTGACTGCGTTCAACATACTTTTTGACAAATTAGACCATTTGCATTTCCACAACACGAACTCACGAAGTCCTATTTTAACAGAAAGCAATATGTGTGCTTTAGAAATCATTAATACACAACGCTTTTCGAAAATGGAGTACCACAGGGATCTGTTCTCGGACCTGTATTACTTTTAATATACTAGCGATCTACCAAATCGTAACCAAATAAATAACTTAATATTGTTTGCTGATGACTTCGTCTAGTTCACTTCTAACAGATAGTCTAACTATAAGGGAAATTTTTTTATTGCTAACAAGTTGATCTTCAATGACTCAAAAACGCAACCTCTTGCTGTCAGATTAAGTACATATGACATTGATACACTGCAAACAGCAAAATTTCTAGGCGTTTATTTATACTGATAGCCATATGAAATGGGAGGCACATGTGGAGTGCTTCTTGAGATATCTGTCGAGATGTATCGTTGTTATCCACAATGCTTCCGAAAGTGTTCTCATCAAAAGCTACTGCCTATATTTCCACAGCAAGATGGCATATGAACTTATTAATTGGGGTAATTCCTCATGAATAAAGTCTTTGGGATAAAAAGACGATGCGTAATTTATATATTTGTCATAAAATATACAGAGCCAAGTAAAAACAAATGAAGGGTACAGGGAAAAAAGATAGATGTCACAAATTTGATGTTTTGTAGTTAGAACCCGCAATCCCATGAGGTATCGGAAACTCGCAGAAACAATGACAGTCCGTAGTTGTACCCAATTGAAAATTTGCCGTGCAGGGAAAAAAGGATGAATGTCGCAGCCTTTGTATGAAAAAAGATGAACGTCCACTGATCGTCACCGAAACTAGTAGCTATTACAACAATTTACCATACACCAATCTGCGGCGAAAGAAATAAACGTTAAGTAATCACTTTTAAGCAGTTGCCGTTAATTTTGTTTTGTTTGTTCTATCTTCTTTTGAATAAAGCTTTTTTTGGTTCATTGTTTTTTCTAGTCCGAATTGAAAAAAAAATAATTGCAAATAATTCTGCTTTTGAGCTATTGAGGTTGGAAAATCACCTTTTCCCATTGTACTAGGCCCTGTGTAATACATTTTCTGTTAAGGTTATTCTCATATTATATTCAAGCATGGACACGAACACATAAAACAAACAACAAAATACAAAAATAAAAAGGATTTTCCATTAAAAAATCATTAGTCTGCTTTCACTTTTGGGCTATCCCGTATACCAGAAAAAATTTTTTTTTGATTTATAATTCAACTTTTTTTCAATTCCTTATAATAAGGAATCTATGGTAGTCCGTGAGATCTTTGCCCCACCTTGTACATCAAGTCTAGGAGTCTTTAAACTTTTAAATCCACTTTTCTCGAAACATACTTTTTGTGACGTTTATCTTTTTCCCTTGTACCCTTCAAATAATGACACTACCTAGTCAGTATAATTTACTGTGTTTAATGCATGTAAAGAACAAACAAGAGACATATATCACCCATGACACGATACTTCAATATAGAATACGAAATTTAAATATTCATGTTTTGCCACAATTAAGGCTGCAGAAATCGATATAAATATGGCTAAAACTACTTTGCCATTAAGTTCTTCAACACCCTACCGTGTTATAATAGACAGATTGGCAATAGTGCCTTCAAGATTAAAATATAGAAGTACCTAACTGAACAATCTTTTTATACACTTGATGGGTTTCTAAAAAATTACTTTTCAGTTTCAATACTCTGATCGAACTACACTTTATTGTACTCAATTTTCCTGTGCTATATTCTATTTACGTTTTGTGACTGAATGCTCCACTTTGTTTATATATACTCTTTTTGTGCTTTTTAGCATTTTTTTCAGTGTGATTATCATTTCATCATTTTTCTTCTAATGTTCGTGTTTATGCTAGTATTTGTTATTTACATTTAGAATGTTCACACTCTATTGTTGTTTTAATTGCATCTCGGTTGGGCTAAAGGTAGGCAACCCTGGTGTATGTTGATCTACTATTATATAAAATTCATAAGAGCTCAATTTCGCGACTAAAATAGGAGGCATTTATAACATAATAGAGTGTTATGGGTAAAGCTTGTTCCCCTGTTATTTTATTTCGGGTTTTGCCAGACGAGTGCGTTATCTTTTTTAATTTTGGAAATTGCATGTTCCTATAGTTACGGGCACCTATAAAATAATCTAAAGAGAGTTAGTATATCAAATGAAACATCAAAGTTTTGTTATAGTCATAGATTGAAAGATGTATACATACCTCTTCACATAAGGCCAGCATTCGTCGCGTGCTTTCCAGAGACTGAAATAAATTACAGATTTTAGGCAACAAAATAATCTCGATTATAATGAGTTTCATCATTAATTAACGTATTCTACCTGAAGATAGCTAACCTGAGACGCATATTATAACGCTTTTAGCTATCTTAAACTACTACTTGGAAAATAGTAGTCAAACAGTCAGGCTTATTTCTCGAAAAGCTGCATCAATGACAATTGAATACGGTGCACCGCAAGGTTCTGTGATGGGACCATTGCTTTTCACACTGTACACTAGTCAGTTTACTAAGTTTATTAAAGTCAGCTCAGCACAAACAGTAATGGACAAAAGTATATAGACAAATTAATATTGTGATGTATTTCTTTTTTATCTTGTTTTATTGTATACATAATTCGTTATAGCATAATACTCACTTATACATAAATAAATTCATTCAATAAAAATTAAGTGGAAAAACTGGAACTATGAAGGACAAAAATATATAGACAAAGCAAAACAATTATAGAAAAAAGAAGCAAAGTTCATTGAATTATAGAAAACCAACGATGTTTGTGTTAATATTTTGTAGCATAACCATTATTATCAATCACCGCCTGGCATCGTCTCGGCATAGATTGTAGAAGTTTCTTTATAATACGATCCATCAATCTGTCTCCACTTTTGCTCTAAAGCGGCAAAAAGTTCATCCTTGTTTGAATAATTTTTATCTCGTATTTGCTTACCTAAGTATTGGTGCGAAAAGCACCTGGAGAGGATCGAATCACTAATAAGGCGCTAGAGCTACTTTCGCGGAAGCCCTTAACTTATTTCTTGGCAATAATCAATGCCATGCTAAGGACCCAGCACTTCCCAACGGCGTGGAATACCGCTGATGTCATAATGATTCCAAAAAAGGTGGGTTCGATATTCACCCCATTAGTCTTCTGTCATCTCCTTGTAAGCTCGCTGAAAAGGGCGATTCTACGTCACCTTGAAAATTTCTCGTCACACCACAATGTGATTCCTGACGTGCAATTTGGCTTTCGGTCTGAGCATAGTACGGAGCTACAGGCCATAAGGCTTGTTGAACGAGTAACCAGGGATTCACCCGTAACGAAAGTACTGGCATCTTGCTTCTCGATGTCTCAAAGGCATTTGACAAGGTGTGGCACAAGGGCCGTCTTTACAAATTGATCCATAAGGGCTTCCCCTTCTGGCTCCTAAAACTTTTGAAATCCTTCGAGGGTAGGAAATTTCGGATCAAAATTAATAACGTTCTGTCGACAACACGGTCCATCAAATCCGGTGTCCCTCAGGGTTCGGTTCTTGGAACAGTCCTTTATTCACTTTTTATTTATGACGTGCCTTGCCCCAGCAACTGTGAAATCTATCTCTATGCTGATGACACTGCCCTAGTGGCCCAGTCGTGTTCTGGGGGTCTAGTTCACGATAGGCTGCAAATTGCAGTGGACGAGGTATTGGAATGAGCAAATCGGTAGCTGATCAAAATTAATCATTCGAAAACGCAGGCAATCTATTGTACTAAAAAACGTAGCGGCGCAACGTCTGAGGTTTCAGTGAATGGAGTTCGGGTGGCTTGGAAAAGCTCTGCTAAGTATCTCGGTGTCACTCTTGACAAGGGGATGACCTGGCAGAAACACACTGAAGCGTTAAAAACTAAATTCCAAATCTCGTTTCGGCAACTCTACCCTATGCTATGCCGAATAACAAAATTAAGTTTGATCAACAAAGTTCGGCTATACAAGATGGTTATTAGACCAGCGATCACTTACGCAAGTGCGGCTTGGTGTTTTCTCGCCAAAACGCATTGCCTGCAGGTTTTGCAGAACAGAACCTTGCGTAGGTACAATCACTAACGCCCCATGGTATGTTTCCAACGAGACCCTTCACAGAGACCTTGACATCCCTTACCCAAGGAACTACATCAAATAACAAGCGCAGCTACGTTATAGTCAAGCGGAATCGCATAACAACTCTTTGTTGCGCGAGTCAGTAGACTACACAGTCGAGCAGGTTCGCAAGCACACAAGGCCGCGACTCGCACTGAGAACAAAATGAAATCGTGCGACTTTAAGTCCAACCAAAATTATAAGTTTCCTTCAACAACCCATCCCAAAATTAATTTTAGGATCAATTTAAAATTGCCGAATACTAATTAGCAATGCCAAGGCACCCCTAAAATTGACGTACTTCTTTTTTCTTTGCTCTCCCTCCTTCCGTCATTTCTTCTTCCCTTCTTTCTCCCTGACTTTGTTTGGTATTTGGGCAACCAGACCTGACAGACCTACTGACTTACAAGCCTTCAACCAAAAGCAAAGGTGCTACGGACCGCTCTGACAAACAATGACGGATAGAAGGATCCACATATCATACACATCCTTATATACAGAGTGACTTGTAATGCCACGTATTCCTGTTAAGGGGTGATAGATTAGGTCAAAAGCAACCCATTTTGTCCTATCATGTCTTATCCAAAAGATCCAAAAGTTAGCCATTTTTGGGGTATTTGAATTTTAAGTTTTTTATTTTTTATTCCGATTTTAGTCGGTTAAAATAGAAATACAAAAAAACTGCATGCTTGATTTTGAGTTTTTTGTTATCGTCGCATAGCAGACATTCCAATAGTTCCTAATAAGTAATGAAATGTTCAAAAGCTGCAAACGTTTTAAAATTACGCTTTTTAAATGTATCATTTTCTTTTTTTTTTTACTAACTTATTCGATAAAAAATGCAATTTTCTCTAAAAAATCTCCTAGTAATGAAATGTGCAAATTATGTAAATAATATCTCTATCTAACAAGCTTTCATTTGAGGTATTAAGCGTTCAACTATCTGAAGTACATGCAGAGAAACAACAATGACACCCACACAGGCTGGATTTTTAAGGAATTTGTATTACCTGTTTGAACAAGTCGTTACTGTCCTCAAAGGACTCGCATGTCATGATTGTTTTATGGCATCGGCTTGACGAGGAAGCGAGCGAGAAGAGCTGACTTAGTGGAGGAGTGAGAGAGAGAAAGAGAGCTGTTATTATTCATCATTGTAGTTACGCCATCGCCGCACGTCGAGTGAGAATTAGGTTTAGTTGGTATCAACTACTGCGTACGCGCACACGTTTTACGCACGATTATTATTTTCGAGTTTCCCAGTTCATTTCTAGTGGTTTCTTTATCATCTTGGCAGACGCAGAAGATCCGCCAGGACCTCGCCATAGTGAGCACGAGCAAACTTGTACAAATGAAGAATACGCAGACATAATGTTCTGATATGGACTTTGTAACGGCGATTCTGCAGCTGCCCGCCGTGAATATCGGCAACGTTTCCCGAATCGCCGAACACCTCATGTTACTGTGTTTGACTCTGTGTATCGGCGCATCCGCCAAACCGGACGTGTTCAAAGGCAACATAGTGATGCTGGTCGACCCCGAGTCTATCCGCCTGAAGATGGAGAGGAAATCCTTCGTGTGTTTTAGGAAGATCCTACTACGTCTACGCGCATTGTGGCTGCTCAGTTGGGTATATCACAATACAAAGTATGGATTACTGTGCATACTGCAAGATTATACCCTTATCACTACACGCCTGTGCATGTGATTGAAGAGGGCGATCCTGCAAGACGATTAGATTTCTGCAGGTACATGTTACAAGTTTGATAAACCCCCGAAAAATAAGACCGACGGGGTCTCAGAGCCGGTTTTCAGTCAATGTGTGGATGGAAATCATTGATGGATATTTAATTGGACCTCATTTTCTGCCCGCCAATTTAAATGGAGAAGTGTATGAAGAGTTCGTGAAAAATCAGTTGTTTCCATTAATGGAAGACGTCCCATTGGCGACGAGACAAAATATGCGGTTCCAGCACGACGGCTGTCCCGCACACTACAGTAGATTAGTACGGGCGTACTTAGACTCTAAATTTCCAAATCAATGGATTGGCAGAGGCGGGCCTATTGCCTGGCCAGCAAGAAGCCCAGATCTCACGCCGATGGATTACTATGTGTGGGGACATATGAAAAGCCTGGTGTACGATGTTTCACCCGTACCAACGCGCGATGAATTAATTACAAGGATAATCAGTGCAGCTGACCAAATAAAAAGCCGCTTAACAACTAGAGTTACCAAAAGTGAATAACGTAAGAGAATGCGGGCGTGTATTCGTAACAGGGGATTACAATTTGAGCAGAATCTGTAAAATACTAAAGGAAAGTAATTAAAATAAAAGCCTTTTATTTATCCTACGTAATTATCGTTCGTACAACTTTACTCATCTTTTTTTAATTTTATGTCTTTGTACTTGAGTTAGTTGTAACTTTTATACCTCAAATGAAAGCTTGTTAGGTAGAGATATTATTTACATAATTTGCACATTTCATTACTAGGAGATTTTTTACAGAAAATTGCATTTTTTATCGAATAAGTTAGAAAAAAAATAAGAAAATCATACATTTTAAAAGCGTAATTTTAAGACTTTTGTAAGTTTTCAACATTTAATTACTTATTATGAACTATTGGAATGTCTGCTATGCGACGATAACAAAAAACTCAAAATCAAACACGTAGTTTTTTTGTATTTCAAATTTAACGTCTGAAATCGGAATAAAAAATAAAAAAAATAAAATTCAAATAACTCAAAAACGGGTAACTTCTGGATAGGACATTATAGGACAAAATCGGTTGCTTTTGACCTAATCTATCACCCCTTAACAGGAATACGTGACATTACAAGTCATGATATGATTTAATAACATCCAAGGGTATCAACAGAAGTTAATATAACAAACTGGTCTTAAGTCGGCAGACAAAATGTAGAAGACAATTTGCCGAACCAAAATGACCATTGGCGTCAACATCTCCAAGGAAAGGTGCACTAAAGTTTCTGAGCCCTTCCCAGTCGGCATGTCTGTAATGCCAGATGTTACGGCCCCGGCGAGTTTCTGCTGTCAAACGATTTTAACAGAATTCTGACCTCCGCAACACCGGTATCTGAGTTACCGAGTGAATGCAGGACAGAAGTACTGCAAGAGACAGGTTACGTTGCCAGAAAGAGAACCATCAGACTTACTGACGTGTGATGAGACGCAGGGGCAATGTAGAGCGCGTCACCAGCTGGGTCAGCCCTTCAATACCTGACGTATCAGTCTTGTTTGAGCCCAGCTAGAGCTCATTATGAGAATTAGAATTACCGAGGAGAACTACGTCTGAAGCAGCGAGGTATATTCAAGTAGGTCATCCATGTTATGGTCCGGGAGAGAGCAACGAAGGCAGCAAATGAATTTGGGGTTGAGGCGATGCAACATAATCTCCTTCCGGCCTGATTTAAAAGAAATGTCTCTGGAGCAGGAAAGTCTGCTGCGGAGAAAAACCACAACTCTCCCGTTTTCCCTCAGATTGGACAGCACCTGGTAGTTTGGAAAGCTGAGATGATTGGTGGGAGATTTTGGTCTCCGCCAAAAAACACTATGACGTGACGATTAGGCTGCAGATAGTAGGGAACAGGATCAATGTTGCTGTTAATCCCGCAGATGTATACTAAGTGACATATAAATCCGAACACCCAGTTTAAATGGTTTTATTTTAATAAAAGTTGGTGAATGTATTTATCTTACTGTAAATAACAAGTGAAAAAATTGTCAGCCTTATCAGTTGGACATTCCGGTTTTTATACTGCTTTTTTTTAATTCACTAACGCTCTAAAAATGAATATTTCAGCCGCAGTAAAGAATCAACGTTGGCGGATTTTGGTTCTTGACATCCTTTACGATCGGTTACGATGCCTAGAGTACGGAGACCTGTACGATTTCGTCAACTTAGTGAGTTTGATAGGGGCCGTATAGTGGGACTTCGGGAAGCTGGACTTTCTTTTCGGGCAATTGCAGTTAGAGTGCAAAGTAGTGTAGACACTGTGGTTAGGTGTTGTCAGGCATGGCTTCGAGAAGGCCGTACGCAAAGAGCAAGGGGCACTGGACGCCGCCGTAGAACAACAGACCGTGAAGATCGCCGCCTAAGATTATTGGCCTTAAGGGACCGTTTCTCCACTACCAGGTCCATTGCAAATGAATGGTTTGCAGAACACGGAAGACCTATTGGCATGCGAAGTGTTTACCGGCGAATGAGAAGTTTTGGCTTGTTTTCATACCGGCCACACTGGGTCCTCCCTTTAACTGGAGAACACCGACGTAATCGCCTTGAGTGGTGCAGACAACGGTCACTCTGGGATCAGGATTGGAACAGAACAACTCATATTTAGTGACGAGTCTCGATTTTGTTTAGGCATGCACGATGGTCGTGCCAGGGTTAGAAGGCGACGTGGTGAAAGGAGGAATCCACAGTTTTTTGTTGAAAGACATGTTCATCGCACTGTTGGAGTTATGGTTTGGGGTGCTATAGCTTATGGTTCCAGGTCACCTTTAATCTTCATCAAAGGTAACATGAAGGCGCAGCGTTATATCCACGAAGTTCTAGAACCCCATCTTTTACCCTATCTTGACACCCTGGCAGATCCAACTTTCCAACAAGATAATGCCCGACCACATGTTGCAAGAGTCATAATAGACTTATTTCAACATAATGATGTCACATTGTTACCATGGCCATCAAGATCTCCCGACTTATCCCCAATTGAGCACGTGTGGGATATGATGGGTAGGAGATTGCTCAATTTGCAACGTCCTCTTCAGACTCTAGAAGCACTTCGAGAGGAGTTGGTCGTTGCCTGGAATGAGATACCACAGGAGGACATTGACCACCTGATCAGAAGCATGCCTAGGCGCGTTGGAGAATGCGTAGCACATCAGGGTGCATTAACACATTATTAAAGGTCAAAGGGCTTTAAAGCAGTGCAATCATTTTGAAATTTTTATCATTTACTTATTATGCTTCATTAAGTACTTATACAAAATTTTATTAAAATAAAACCATTTAAACTGGGTGTTCGGATTTATATGTCACTTAGTATACTTCAGTTCAGTAGTTATGAAGATTTATTGATTCAAAGTTTAAATAAAACTAATAGATCATCATTAGTGGAGATCAATATATTTGGCAGCAAAGTAATTTAAAAATGTAGAATGAACTGACCCGTTAGGCAAGTAAATGTTGAAAATGGTCACCATAACTCTCCATGCAATAATAAAGATTTTGCTCGAAACGTTGCCGCACAGTTTGCAATATTTGAGGAGTAATTTGAAGGCACTCATTAACAATTCTTTGTCGCAGGTCTTCTAATGATGTTGGCTGAGTAGCATAGATATTGCTTTTTAAATGACCCGACATAAAGAAATCCAAAGGTGATAAATCTGGCGATCTTGGGGGCCATTCAATGGCACCTCTTCTACCAATCCATCGATCTGGAAACGTGTAATCTAAATATTGTCGAACACGTAATGCGTAATGTGGTGGGGCACCATCCTGTTGGAACATCAACCTATTCGCAATGTACCGCCGATCATTCTGATTTTCAATTATGGCTGTTAATGCAACTAAATGATCGCCAAAAATACCAGCGTAAACATTTAATTTTTGTGGCTGCTGTGTATGAACCTCATGATCAATTCTGGGATTAGAATCGGACCAATATCGGCAGTTATGACGATTTACTACGCCATTTAAGAAATAGGGACATTCGAAAACAAAATCGACGGGTCTGAGCGTTTTTCCAAAAAAAACTGAGCTGCCAGTAAATGCGTCTGTTTCGTTTTCGATGCGCCACCCTGTATATAACATAATAATATAATAATGACTAATTACGGCAAAACTGGAATGTTTCCATACTTTTGTCATTACAAATACTGTAGTATTTAAAAAAGACGCGAGTTTTTATTTTCAGAGAATTTGAATATTGATAAGATAAACCTTGAATCAGTACGGGAGCCAAAGGTAGACTTTTATATTATATGTTCCTTCACAATTTCAATTTAGGTATATGGTATTCATAATAATGTTAATATTTGTTACCAAACTTTTGTCCGTTACTGTACATATAACAAAGAAATAATGTGAAACAATTCTTCACTCACCTCATCTGTAACCTGTTGGGATTTGAACTGCAGTTCTTGCAGTTCCGACCTGGGGACGCCATTTTCTGCGGGTGCTGGAGCCGGCATGTTGCTTTCGCTGTCGAAACAGAGAAGTATTGTCAAAGCGTATCATCAACAACAAAGGAATACGGAAATTAGTGCCGTCAAAACTCTACCCATTGCACATGAATCTTTAACTTTAACAAGTTCAAGATTAATCCAGGATGTTTCCAAAACATTCAAAACATGAAGGGGTCTTTATAGTGCTTACGTCTACTGGTCAGGAAGTACTGTAATTGTGAAAAGTTTAGAAATTGAGTTATATTTTTTGGATGTTATACAGGGTGTAAGCGTTATGATAGTCATTATTTAACCCTTTGTGTCCGGAATTAAATAATTTTAGGATTTTCACTTGTGGATGTAAAAAAACGTCAAACATTTAGTGAAAAAAATTTATTACACATATTTTTGTGGAAATTGGTGGTCACCCGAACGAACCAGTAGGACCACAAAACAAAAACTTTTACCAAAGAAACAAAGCATTATCTTTCTTCAACATGAGGCTAATCGACATTATGATATGCAAGAAAACAATTTCTCTTGTCATTGAGACATAAACCTACATCGCAAATCGTGCAACTCCAAATACTCCTATGAGCTTCCTTTTTTGTGCTGCAGATGGCGCATCGTCTGGAAGTTCCATATACAGGGTGTCCCAGAAGTCGACGTCAAGCCGAAACCGGGTGATAGGCAAAGTCATAACAGCTATCAGAAAAATATTTAAAAAAATTTTATGTATGTGTTTTGAAAATTATAGGTCTTTGAAAAAGATATAGAAGTTTCACACCCTACGGCAGCCTGTCAACTCCTGTTACTACAAATATTAACTTTTTTTGGACTTTATTTTTTCAGTGTAATGATGAATAATGCATCAGCATCAGCGATTATGAAAACGCACAAGCACCCTTAAAGATAACTGTTTGCACAACAGTGGGCGTCAAAATGCTGCTGATGATGATTTACCTTTACAGCAAATGCTCAAGCTGTTTTCCTTCAGCCGCAATACACGCCTGACATCTTAACAAACTCAGTTGCTTCCAATAGTCTTTGCCGTAGCTCAGCTACATTTTGAATCGGCTTGAAATACACTTTTTCTTTTACAGTTCCTGAGTAAAAAAATCTAAAGGATTCAAATCAGGTGATCGGGCTGGCCACGGTATTGTACCAGACCGCCTTATCCATCTGCCTGGAAAGTTTTGATCGAGATACTCTCTCACTGAGAGTGCATAGTGCGCTGGGCAGCCATCATGCTGAAACCACATGTCCCTGTAAATACTCAGTGGCACGTCCACCAATAAATTTTGTACATGATTTTTAAAAAAATCCAAATAAACTTCAGCAGTCAAAGTCTCTGAGAACTCAAACGGACCGATTATTTTACCATTTAAAATTCCTGTCCAATGGTTTATCTTGAAGCGATATTGAGATTTATCTTCTCTCATCAAATGTGGGTTTGCTACGTGCCACTCGTGTAAGTTATGCAGGTTCATGTACCCATCTTTCTTAAATATGGTCTCATCCGACCATAAAATTTTTTCAAAGAACTGTGGATCTTTCCTGTGTCTTTCTAACATTGTGCGACAAAAAGCAACTCGGGGCTCATAATCCCGGGGCAGGAGAGATTGAACACGCTGTATGTGGTATGGATGAAGCACATCACTTACTTGCTATTGCACACTTTGATACCGATCAGTACTCCTTCGTTTACTGCGCATCTTTACATGTTCGTGCTTGTTGATTTCGTACTGTTACTAATTTTGGATTCGTGAACTGGACTGTTGATCGCTTGTGATTTGGATTTGGACTGTTTAATTGCTCTTCAAAACAACATTTGCTTTCCTTAGACTATCTTTGATAGTGTGATTGTGCAGTGCCGCTATGTCCGTGTACACCGTACAAGAATATGCTAACATGCACCTCATTTATGGGGAATGTACAGCGTGTTCAAGCTCTTCTGCCCCGGGATTATGAGCCCCGAGTTGCTTTTTGTCGCACAATGTTAGAAAGACACAGGGAAGATCGACGGTTCTTTGAAAAAATTTTATGGTCAGATGAGACTACATTTAAGAAAGCTGGGTACATGAACCTGCATAACTTACACGAGTGGCATGTAGCAAACCCACATTTGATGAGAGAAGATAAATCTCAATATCGCTTCAAGATAAACCATTGGACAGGAATTATAAATGGTAAAATAATCGGTCCGTTTGAGTTCCCAGAGACTTTGACTGCTGAAGTTTATTTGGATTTTTTGAAAAATCATGTACAAAATTTATTGGTGGACGTGCCACTGAGTATTTACAGGGACATGTGGTTTCAGCATGATGGCTGCCCAGCGCACTATGCACTCTCAGTGAGAGAGTATCTCGATCAAAACTTTCCAGGCAGATGGATAAGGCAGTCTGGTACAATACCGTGGCCAGCCCGGTCACCTGATTTGAATCCTTTAGATTTTTTTACTGGGGAACTGTAAAAGAAAAAGTGTATTTCAAACCGATTCAAAATGTAGCTGAGCTACGGCAAAGACTATTGGAAGCAGCTGAGTTTATTAATAACCGTGGATTCGCTCGTTTAATAACCCGATCTTTTTTAAGATGTCGAGCGTGTATTGCGGCTGAAGGAAAACAGTTTGAGCATTTGCTGTAAAGGTAAATCATCATCAGCAGCATTTTGACGCCCACTGTTGTGCAAACAGTTATCCTTAATGGTCCTTGTGCGTTTTCATAATCGCTGTTTAGTTAGGAAATTTTGAAAAATTTTCATCAGTTCTTTTTCAAATAAAAATTGTGCATAAGTTAACGAGTCTCTTCTAAGTGTTATACCATTTTGGAATCGCTATTAGATGCGCCAACTTTTAAGGTTACTTGCCAAACTCTCGTAGTACATTTTTTCCAGTACAGCCAGTTAAAGTTGAGCAAAGTTTTACTTTGGAATACTTGGTTGGGAAATAAGTGGCAATTTTTCCTGAACGAGAAAAGTTGGCAGTAAGGTTGAGACACCAGTTTGAAGATGCATTATTCATCATTATATTGTAAAAATAAAATCCAAAAAAAGTTAATATTTGTAGTAACAGGAGTTGACAGACTGCCGTAGGGTGTGAAATTTCTATATTTTTTTCAAAGACCTATAATTTTCAAAACACATACATAACATTTTTTAAATATTTTTCTGATAGCTGTTATGACTTTATCTATCACCCGGTTTCGGCTTGACATCGACTTCTGGGACACCCTGTATAGGCATGTGAGCAGATTTTTCTGTCCTTTTTTCAATTGGAACGTATTTTTTATAATGATTTATAGTTTCCATTGATTTTCGACCTTTTTTCTTGGTAATGCATCCTGACGCAATTAGTCCCGAAGATACATTTATCCTGAACTGTTTCAAATCGAGGGTCGAACCGCTGCAATGTTTTTGAAACAAAATGTAACCGTTGACTACCGTAGTATCAACAAAGTGCCAAACTATCCTATGGTACCACTGCTTGCTTTTTCGATCTATCGCGTAACATTTTTTTAGCATGTCCGCCTTATCGACGGCACCCATATGTTTATTGTAATCTACAACCAAAGACGGACAAGTTACTTCAGACACAGGTATTATTTCATTATTTGATAATGTACTCGTAAAATGCAAACAATTAAAAAAAAACGGACTGTCTCAGCGCTTCACCTGGTGTGTGAAAGTTTTTTGAACGTATTAAAAAAATCCACTTATAAATAGGAAACACAATTTTGATACAGACATTGTTTTTTTTTTAAACCCACACCCACACTGTATTTAAAGAAGGTGTTCAAAATGTAGTCCTCCACTTTCCACACAAGCTTCATTACGGCCTTCACGAATGGTATGAAGAGTTTCTTGGCCCCCCTTGAGAGTATTATGGAAATTTAATATCCCGTCTCGCGTAAAAGTACATTCGTCCGTCGCTAAAATGTTTTTAAAAAAATCCGGATTTTCAATTTTTTGTGCAAAAACCACTGACAGAATCTTAGTCTGCGAGGATAGTATTCTGGTAACAAGGCCTGCACTTGTTGTACATGGTAGGGATAAAGCAAATTTTCCCTTAAGACTCTATGGAATATGGTATGCGCGGCGGCCTAATTCCCGAGTGCTGATATCTGCATTGATTTCCACGATATTTAAAATTTGTTCCTCCTGCTCTACACTAACCTGTCTTTCATGAGTGCGAATATTAGTGGGCTGGACACTTTGGTACACTTGCCCAGATGTCCTTTTGTCTGGGTGTACCCGTTGACGAAATCTGTTGCGATGAATTTGAGCTGCAAGATTTGAATTCTGACGAACTTCACCGTAAACGAACAACATGTAGGCGAATTCTTGATTCGAGAACATTGTAAATAAACACGACGATATACGCGAACAATAAATAATCACTGTTACCGTTTGCGATCGATGGCCGGTTCGATAAAAGTGATGAATGACCGACGCGCTGTTGTCATGTGTGTTTTAAATATTTAATTTAATGAAACTTACTGACTACAAATTTTGGCATAACGTAGAAAAACTTAATGCCATTTATTTGTTAATTACCAAACTTAAAAATATTTTAGATTAGATTATAAAGATTAGTAAGTTTGTGGTCGATATAAAGCACTTAAAGTTGTAAACTATAAAGCCATTTAGCCAAAAATCTATTGACTTTTGGACCATGGGTCATATGAACGTTTTGACTAGTTTTGACCGCCCCTATTACCCGTTTCAATAATGACTACCATAATGTTTACACCCTGTATGACATTTACATCACGAAAAATCATGTCACTGATGTCTGTCGGTCTGTCTGTCCGCTAATACTTCGCCCGTCTATAATGTAGAAAGTACTGCTCGGATTTGGATGGTTTTTTTACACAAGGACAAAAAATCTTCGTAGATTTTGAAAATCGGTCCAGTGGCGGCGGATAATTTTTTGATCTCGGTATATTTACACACACAATCATAGATTTCTCCGTACATTTGCCCTTAAAGCTTAAATTTTATTATAATTTTATTTTGAGGTCATTATTCTAATTGATT